GTGTGCCCCCGGACGAAATTGGGTGTCTACAGTTGTCATATATAATATATTAATAATTTAATAGTATTATTGAAATAAATTATCAAATAATCATAAAATTTGTAAGTGAAGTTGAAACTTAAGAAATTTCTCATTTACCAAGAGTCATTCTAACCCTTGTCCTCATTGTTGTAGGAATGTCAAACCCAACTCTTGCCCTTCTATATATTAGTAATTGAGTGTGAATGTTGTCTAAAATGTCACCATTTTCACTAAGCCTATCAATACATTTTAAGAGGTCATCCACCACTTGATCATCTTCATCAATTCTTGAATTTCTATAAAAAGAACTTGGGATTTAGATAATATCCCACTACATGCGAAGGATGATGAAGTTGGCAATCCCATCTTCTATCAATAATTGCAAATATATCCTTATATTTTTCTTCATTATGATTGAAAGAGAGTTGAATTGCCTCTTTGGCTCTTTCCATAGCTTCATATGTGTAACCCATTGCCTTTTTTTTATTATCCACCAACCTCAACGCACGTACAATAGGTCTCATAGCTTTTAAAACATAAACAACATCACTCTAAAATGAAGGCATAAGAACAACATTTGTTGCTTTCTTTCCCTTAGCTTCTTTGGCTCCCTTTGATTGCAATCATTCATCAGAAGTAAATATTCTTCTAAGATTGGCCTTTTGCTTATGCAATCATTGCAAAATGAGAAAAGTGGTAGCAAATCTTGTAACTCCATGCATCACCAACTCAACCTTGTTTGTATACTTCTTCATGATGTTCAAGGTCAAGGAATGATTATAAATGTAACCCACAAGTTTGATGCCTCTTTGTATTACCCTTTTAACTTTAGGGATCTTTCAAATATCTTATAGCATCAAGTCAAGACAATGAGTAGCACATGGAGTCTAAAATAAATGTGGCCTCATAGTTTGTAAAATTTTACCTGAAAAGACCAATAACAAAATAATTAAAATTGTTATAACTCATAATCCTTCGAGTATAAAATTTAAAACTTCATTGAGGAACAACGATGATTGATCTTATATGCCATAACATAATTGCTTCCACTATCTGTCACCATTTGAATAACATTTTTTCTCTCCAATTTCCTCAATAAAATTATTCAAAAGCTCAAGTATCTTCTCACCAGTCTTGGTATACTCAGAAACATTCACACTTTTCACAAACATTGTTTCCTATAAACAATTTACCAAAAAGTTAATCAAAGTTCTATTTTTCCTATCCATCTAACCATCATACATAATTGAGCACCTGTATTTTACTTTGTCCTCTTCATGGCCTTTCAATAAGCCATTGGTGTATTCCAACTCCTTTTTAATGAGTGGAACTTTCAATTCATGGTAGCTTGGTGACTTTAAATGAGGACTATAGGTGTCAATAGCTTAAACCATCAATTCAAAACTTTTTGATCTAGCAACATTAAATGCAATTCCATTCCTATAAAAGAAATGAGCAATGTATTGAACTACCCTTGCTCTTGTTTCTTTATTACAAGAATCATTTACACTTGTTTGTCTCATAGCTTTACCCAATTTGATTTTTTTTTAAATTTTTTTAGCAAAGTGAAAATCAAGAGGACCTTTGACATTTATACCTTTCATCTTGATAGTAGAAATGGCTTCACTTGGTGTAGATGAAGGTCTCTTAAATCTAGCAATAGCTTGGATGTCATCTTCCTCTTCATTTTCTTTCATAGGCCCCATATATACTTCATTGTTAATTTTTTTTGCTCTCATAAGCGGCCTTCATTTCTAATTTAAGATCATTTGGTATTTTTCTACAAGCACCTACATTTCCTCTTATCCCGAGTTGATGTCTTTTTGCTCTAGTAATTCCTCCCACGTAAGTTTTTAAGTAAAAATCATAAGTCACATTCTTCTTGTTATTTTTGTCTTTTAAGTTGTTCAAATTCCAAAATATATCAACGTTGTCACTGGTAGGCTTAAACATTCCAATTGAAGAACCCATTGATGATGTGGAACTAAGATTGACACAAGTTATAGCAGTGTTTGTTTGAGCCACGGTTTTGTTGATCACTAATGCCCAAATAAAGAAATGAACAAAAGAAAGAAAGAAATGGAACAGAAAAAAGAGAAAGAAATGAAAAAAAAAATAGTGAACAACAAAAACAAGAGAAGAGAGAAAAGAAAAAAAAAAGAATACCATGGAGGAGAAAGAATGCAAGAAGAGGAAACGAATAGAGAAAGATGACAATAGAGAAAGATGACAAAATAGAGAAAGAATACCACAACGGATGCATGAAAACGACAAAATGTCGAAAAAGGAAGACGACCCCAATGCAAAAATAGAGAAAGATGACACACGACACACAAGAGAGTTTGAGAAGAAGTGTGAAGACGATGAACAAAGAGGAGGTGTGGTGCATTTTTGAGTTGTTGCGTTTTTAAGGCTAGGGTTGTGTCTTCGCATAGAAGGAGGAAGAGGTGTGTTGTTCACACTCAGAAAGATCAAAATACCCTTAGTGAGGTATTTTTGAAAATTTTAAAATTTTTCGATCCACTCTAGGTTGCGAAATTTGTGTTGCTATGTCACCATGTTGCACCACTCCGATTGCAATCTAAAAGCGCTCCGCTCCGAGGTCTTCATAGTGACATGGGTCCGCTCTGCTCCGATTTGTCACGATAATAGTCGCTATGGCCACTATTGATAAGTATGATGGAGATGTTATGATAATGATGTCATAATATGTCATGAAGAAATAATAAGGATGCATAGTGATTATATGTGTATGAGATTATGTTGATGACAATATGATGTATAAGGTGATTTTGATGTTAGTGATACTAATTAGATTTATAAGTCTAGGTTGCAATTGATAATGATGAAATCTAAGTAAGGCTTGGTATATTATGGAGAAGTCTAGATTATGTGGTCTAACAAAATCACCAAGTGGACATTTCATTTATTATGGTATGGTATTGTTGTGTGTAGGGTCCATGCATTCATACATTATTTGCAAGTTAGTATAAATCTATGTAAGAGAGTTTATATGGTCATCTACCTAGACCTTGAGAATGTTATGGTAAGAAGTCTTTAACGGGAGTGTGAAGTAACCATGACCAACTATAACGCTTCAATTAGATCACGATAAATATCCATTAGTTAAGAGTGGATTAAAGGGGTTATCTAGTGTGTGATGATTCCATTCCTGACTCTTAGACTACCTTGAGTTGGTATTATGAAGAGATTGATATCATATGCATATAGAGTCAAGTACATGCATTTGCACTAGTCGTGTTTTATGATTTAGATAATTTGAATGAGATGAATGGTTATTGATGATGAATAAATGTTAAGTAACAGATGTATTGAGTTAAGTATGGTTTTGAATGATGAAATAAAAATAATTGTATGTATGAAAGTATGATTATGATGTATGTTTTAGTATGCTTATATGTGTTGTACATATATGAAATATATTTTCACTCTCTATGTTGTTATATATATTTGAATTGATTGTCATTTACAGAATTAGTCCAGATATAGAAAAAGGAATTTAATGGAGACAAAACCTAGTGCTTCAATAATATGTGTAATTATATATTAATAAAATTTGTATTAAATGTAAATGTATATTATTAATATAAACCTTCAATTTTGATTAGAGAACAACATTAATTATATCTAAAAAATTATACCTTAATTTTGTCTTTTTCTAAAACAAGAAAATAAATCCTTTTAGAAAAGAAATATTGAGGTGTTCAATCTCAATTTACTTTTTTAAAACTCTACCTTACAATTAAAACATGATTTTAATTATAAACAATAAATTAATTTATTTTAATATAAGCAAGAATAATTAGATTTTAAAGTTATTCAAAATTGTTTTTTATACCTTTAATTGATTATCAGCTCTATTTTTTTTATACATTCACTTATAACTAACATTAATTATAACAATTACTTAAAACAAAAGGTATTTTTTGAAATAAAATTTAAATTTATGATAAAATTAATTAAAATTAATCAATTTAATTATTTTTTAATTTTGATGACTTATTTTAGGTAAAAATATATTTTTCGTCCCTTATATTATTTATTAGTGTCAATTTAGTCTCACTTTAATTAATTGAATCAATTTAGTCCCACAACTTTAAAATATATCTCAATGTTTGACCTTCCGTTTCCTTCGTTTAAATAGTTAACAGATCTGACACGTGTCATAACACGTAGCTTGATGACATGACACGTAACTTGAAGACATAACACGTAGCTTGATGACATGACACGTGTCATAACATGTGACATGATGACATGACATGTGTCATGCTATCATGTCACGTGTCATATCATCATATCATGTGTCATGATGTCATGCCACGTATCATGATAGCATAATGTGACATGACACATGTCATATTCGTTAATTATTTAAACGGAGATAACAGAAGGTCAAACATTGAGATACATTTTAAAAATGTGAAACTAAATTAATTCAATTAATTAAAGTGAGACTAAATTGACACTAATAAATAATATAAGAGACGAAACATATATTTTTACCCTCTATTTTATGTTATTTATGTTTAAGATCGGGTGCTAGTACAATTTATTGAAGAATTAGGTTCTCATGCGGTAAATATTCAATAACTCATGTTTTACATCAAATTTTAATGATCCAACAGTTGAATTTAAAGTCTTAATGTATAGATCAAATCCGTAAATTTTTTAAAAAATTAAAAATCATTTAATACATTGTTTCATTAATTCAAATTAATATATAAAATAATTTCATGATTATCCGTTAATTTGAATTAATGAAATAAAGTATCAAATAATTTTTAAATTTTCTAAAAATTTGTAGACTTAATTTATGCATTAAGAACTTTAAATTTAACGGTTAGATCGTTAAAATTTTATGTAGTACATAAGTTATTAAATAAAATAAGTCTAAGTAAACTTATTTCTAAAATAAGCAAATTCCTCTTTATATATATATATAACATCGAAGTAACTAAACATAAAATAAAAAAATTATATAAAAAAAAGTTCATAATGTCACTCTAAATTTGAAATTTTACATGACGTGACTTACTCGAGCGCTATTGGCTCATTCCAATGCTTGACCAAGATGTAGCCGAAGTGAAATTTGAAGGGGAAAAAGCTGGTAGCTACCTATACCACTTATGGAACTGATGTGGTTAGGGCATACGGCAACCATTTGATTTGAGAGTACTCTACTCACATATACAATGCCCTAAACACATTAATTAAACTTAATTATGCAGAGTCAAAATCAAAGGGAAGGGACAATCAACTTTGGCTTCCAAATTGCTTCTGAATATCGTTGAAAGATACAGTGGCTGATCCCCTTCTTTTTGCTTTCTGTTGAGAAGAATGTTCCCGCCACCCCGTCATGTATATAACCTACAAAGGCAGAATGACCATACAATATAACACCCATCTTTCATAATTAGATGTAGTAAATTATTATTTCATGTTTTCAACTGGTCCAAATTGAAAATTGTTGCCAGTGACATTTTCACAAGTTTTTAATTGGTTTGCTGAACAATTGTCCAATTTTGAATAATGTCATATAACATTCCATCATTTGTTAAAAGCATAAAAAAAACATGCATCGTCAATTTGCCATTTTTGAGAATGTGACATTTTCATGCTGAAACTAACTTTTCTCATGGGAATGTTTTATCATGCCCTTAAATGAAAGACAAAATGACAACAATACCCATCCTACTGATTTACACCTTCACCTCCACATCTAGCCCGGACTAACAAACAAGTAGCAATAGCATCATAAACCTACAAGTAAAATAATTAACTCCTATGGATATGTATGGGCTTATCTTTGGTCCCAATATACCTACAATGCTACGATATGATTTTACTTATACGCTAGATATATATTTTACACATTGGCATAAACGTACATCCAAAGAAATGCAGTTTGACCTCAAAAGCCTAAACATCTCTCCTTACTGGTTTTGGGACCTATCTGGTCTGCGAAACACTTTGATATAAACTACACTACTGATTTTTTTATGAATGACGCCTCAGTTTTGATTACCTGGAAGGTTGCAGGTATAGTACCATCTTCGGCAGAAAACATTGAATCATAAATAGCTGCAGTTGCTAAAGCTGTATCCCTCTTAAGGATCTGTCATTCACGCATAACCTCTTTTCAGAAATGTAATGCAACATCCAAGGCTCAACATTTGATAAAAGAAATTTTATTTAATACCCATTGGTATGAAGAAAAAGGAAAAAAAAATAATAAATTACACTGTTCATTTGAGAAAGAGCGTTTATTTCACCCATTGCACGGAGATGTTCTATAAGCTCCAGAGCTGCACATAACAGAGACAAGAATCATTATGAACAAGTAACAACTTGAGACAATTCATTCATGTGGAAAATGGAAAATTCAATTAGAAAACCATACAGAACTAGAAAATGACAGCCACTATTCCTGAGTTCTCTCTTTTTACTTTCAAAGTTCAAACATTTTCTGTGATTCCCATAGTGGATATTTTTTTTAGCCACCGTATTGTCTATGTGGTGGTCTAGTGTGTTATGGCTTTTACTTCCCACACACCTATCAGTCAGCAATAAAAGTTACCATGCTCACATCTCAGCAAATAACATCTTATTTGCCTTTGGTCATCTAACAGTGTGAAGTAGGGCTGTTAGTTTGTTTTGCTTTCTGTTAGACTTGTTGTAACTGTATTGACACAGTTACACTAGGACTCAACTGTATAAATAAGAGACTTGCTATCTCATTGTAATAAGAAATACACAAATCAGAAATACAAAAGTATTTTTCATATCCTCTTTGTTTTTCTGTTGATTCTCTTTCTCCTTATGCCTAAACACTCAAACAACCAGAACTGAAATTTCAAACTAAGGAAGAATGCATGTAGCAAAAATTTAGGGAGAACGCATAATTCCTTTAATTCATGCCATGCATGTGGAATAATTCAATTATTAAACCAAATTCAAATTCTCACCACTTTCATATTTAACTATATATTCATCAACATCAACACCTGGAAGGGTGAAACCTGCCCTAGTCAAAAGATTCCCAGCATCTCGAACCTGAAAATGGAGGACAAAAGGTCTTCTCATTTCCAGCTTTATTATTCTATTTGGACAAAAATACAAGTCTTCATTACAAATGTTAAAGTTACAACAAGACAGATTTACTAACTGATCTTTAAGAGCCATGCATGACTAATATTGCCATGATGGACATATGTTAGACAAACCTATTTGCTTCAAAATTAACCATCAATAATGGTAGGGAGTTACTTTCAAACAAAATTGTGGAATTCATGATTGCATTACCAACAGACAATCATAAGTAACACACAACCATGTCATCCTATTCAAAAGAGACAGTAATGCTTACATTCAAAATACCAATGATCTTAACTGATAAATAAACAATTCACAAGATAATACTTTTACAATAACACATGCCTGTGCCAAAGGTGATACTCGGGGACTGATCCCTCCTTCACGCTCCATCTGTGCCAATGTACAAGCTATTCTGAGCTCCCTGGTAACAGCACAAATATCATTAAAATCCTCCATCCATTTGTGTTCCAAAGAAATTTCAAGAAATAAAAATAGCATGTCACTTTAATGTTTCTCCCCCAAGAATAGCTGCTAAAAATAATCCATCTGGCTTCAATGCTAATCTAGACTGCAAAACATTATAAAAAATAAAAAATCAGATAATAATAAACGATATTAAAACTGACATTTAGATAAGGATAAAGACAGGTAATTTGCACATAAAATTTTTCTCCGTATTGACGAAAGCAAATGCTCAAACATTAATGAGAATTATAATTCAGTTATAAGCCAAATTATCCATAAATTACAATCAGGTCCTTCCCAACTAATGAGGCTTTAACTAGCTGTTTTCTGTGCCTTCTTTTGGTCATAAGAATTTGCAGATGTTCAAGAGTAAAAACACACTTAGCTCATAAGGTGTGTGACTTTGAACAGTGTTTACAGACTCCACATCCTGACTTTGTCAAACAGCATTAGAGACTAACTTACAAAATGGTAGGATATATATTCTTTCAAAATATAAAATCCACAGTTGCTACTCAATTACAGTGTTTGTATGCTACAGTACCTGAGAATTGCATAAAGCTTTATAAATCTTTTGCTTTCAACATAACATATAAATCTTAATCATTTTAAATATCCATTATATTAAATCGCTAAAATGAATTACATAGTTTTCCAGTCAATTTGATACAGCATTCACCCCTAGTAATGTTTTAAAAACCAGACCGAACCAGTGGGTTGAACCCGTCAAACTGTGAACCAGGTCTCCACTTCAAACATATCCGGTTCAACCAGAAATCTAATTGGCTGAACTGTGTCATAGAGGTCTTGCCAGTCAACCTTTGCTTTAGTTTTCAAAACATCACCTAGAAGATTGTTACCGATCCTTATCACATAAGGGTGCCTAATACCCTCAAAACTTGATGACACTTGAGGAAGACAAAAGAAAACCATCACAGTATCACAATCTGCGCCTTCAATATTTTGGGGTTATGTTATCATTCCCCCCTGAAGAGGCAGATATCCAAACTAAAAACACCAAACTATTGCTTCCATACCATGCTTTTAAAATATCACTTGATGCACTTCATGTAAACATTACCCCTTTGTGGGACACCATTAGAATAGAACCAACTCAAATACAAACCAAGCCAGTAAACACAAGGGAAATAACTACCTGTATCATTGCTCCTGGCAAATCATTAGTCCAGTGTAGTCCCAAGCAACTAACAACCAAATCCACAGAGCTGCAAACCATATAATAATAATTACATAAAACAATTCAAAAATAGAAAATCCTAACATTAAATCAATAGAGTAAATTACACAAACACCCCTGGAGGTTTTGCGAAATTACACACATATACTAATCTTTTAATTGTTTGGAAAACATTATACTCTGTAACAAGTGCAGCAGGGACAGAAGAGTCGATTGAAGATACAGCTCAGCAAGGACACCTGGCAGCAGATCCCAATAATTAGGGAGTGAGGAGAGGCACGAGAATCAGAATAACTAACTCTAGGCGGCAAGATTTTGATTGGTCTAGGGTCTAGTATATATATTCTGTTTGTTAAGGAGAGAGAATAGGAAGGATTGATTTGGTTTCTTCTCTCTGCATTGCTTTTCTGTTGGTGCTATGTTTCTTTCTTTATTTACGTATTTTGCTCTGTAAAGCTACGGACTGTGGCTCATCGTTACTCATTTACTCAGATTATTCAATATCATTCAGAGCAGTATTTCTCATTCCAACTTTTGGTGCATTGGTCTGTTAATTAAACTGTTACATACTCCTAGTGATGCCCCTTGAACATCACATTAACTTAACACCCTTAATTGTTTGAAAAACATTACGGGGACTCCTGCAAGGGAGGTTAATGTAAACGTTACAAAAGCAAGGGCGTGTGTGCAATCGTAATTTAGTCAAATGAACATGAAGTGAAAATTAGAATTACCTTTCTTTGATGGGCAGAAACTCTTCGTCAGCAACAAGAAAGTGGGTCTCAACAGCGCGGTGGTTTGAGGCGTGGTAAGCATTTTTACAAGCTTGAACCATATCATAGGAGGCATCCATGACAAAAAGCTTTTCCACACCACCTGGTATGAATGAATAAGTTGGGTGCATAATAGAACAGAAGAGTGAGTGAGATTGTCACTACCGTTAGCGTGAGGAGCGGAAAGAGAGCGCGTGATGGGTTGCAACGAGCCTCCCAAACATAGCGCGGTTGGAAAAGTCTTGTTGCAGTCCTAGAGAAAAGAGAGTTTTGGAATTGAATTGAAGTTAGAGAGTTTAGAAAGAGAAGGGAACCTATTACCTAACCTAACCTAACCTAACCTGCAAGCGATCGACGAGATTTTGGGAGACGGTGTGAAGGAGAGGGTCGTGTGAGGGCGTCAACCATGCGGCGCGGTCGCGTTGAGTGCGCTTCAGTTGCCGATCGAAGATGGTCACTTTCGAAGTGGAGAAGGTGGCCAAACGCAAACTGCGAAATGCCCATGCCTGCTTGCGCCAAAGGGACACTCTTCTCATTTTCTTCAATCCTTTCCAAGACAAGTGTTTCGCTTACTGCAAAGGTTCGAATCGTTTGGAATGATAGGGCTATATATAGGGTGCTGATGGGGGCGTTGGAGATTGATCGGACGGATATAAAACGCCATCCGTGTGTTTTTGGCCGTTGGATTATGTATTACGGTTCTTGGACTTTATGATGAACTAATAATCGCAATTTTTGTTGGTGAATTGGTTTGTAAAAGTGAAGGCAGAGAGAGAGAGTGAAACAGCGAAAGCAAACATGTCACTGTGCTCCAACTCCGTTCACCACTCTCCCTGCAATACCATTGGCAGCAGCACCATTCTGCCACTCTGGACCAGCCATAGCCATAGCGTCCAATGCGGCAATAGGAATTGGACTTCGCAGAGACTCAGAATTGCTGCAAAATCAAAATCAGATGCACAACCCTCACCCACCTCCCTTCTCTCTTTTCTCTGCCCCTTACTCAAGCTTTTCTCTGTATACCTTCTTTCTTAAATGTTTTCTCATACAAGTCTAAACCAATTCTTCTCTATTTATTACTGTTTTTTCTTCTGTGGCTCGTCGCAGGCAAGAGATCCTTCTCAACCGCGCAACTTTACTTTGGAGGTGATTTCTCAGGGGTTTTCCAATACCTCTTAATTTTTACTTGAATTCATTTCTGTCAGGAAGTAAATGTCATAAGATAAATTTCTCTAGAAGCTTTCTAACAAAGAACTTGAACTTCAATTATACATGAATTAAAAATAAGATTTTAGAAATTATAGGAATAAGTTTATTTTAATGTATAGAAAAATTTATTTCATTTTTTATTCTATTTTATCTTTTTAGAAGTGCTTTCAAGAAAGTTTATTCAAACAAACCCTAGATACAAGTTTAAATAAGCTAAAGTTTCTCTTCTAACCAAAGAACTTTATCCTGTGGAGAAACTTTAAAGAATACTTCTAGCACGTGTCCAGACATGCTCATTAATAATAACACAGTAGATACAATATGCCTGTTACCTACATAGCCTTTGTCTAAAGCACAACTTTGTTTCTATAGTTGCAAGTGTCTTGAGTAGCTGTAATAGTTTTAAAATCATCAGGCATTTTGTGTAGTGATATATGCATGTAGCAGAAGTGTAATAGAAGGCTTCTGGAATAATTTTGAAAAAATATACAAAAACATTTCTCGGTGAATATTTTTTTGGTCTAGGAACTATTAACTGCTTCAGTGGTTAATTAAGAGTCCAACTAGATGACTCGTTGAGCACATGAGGAACTAATTATTCCCAAACTCATTGACCACTCTTGGCCCGTATTTTCTTGCTCCCTTCTTCTTCTTCTTCATTTTTTTTTAATCATGTTAACATGTTATTTTTGGTGATTCAGTTCCCAAATTTTTATAGCATAAATTTGCTGATGGAAATTATGATTTATCTATTAGCTTTAATGTAAGTGATCGCACAGTAGCTCTAAATACGGAGAGAAATGTGAACAGAATCCATCATATTTGTTGCTAACTTGACATGTTAGAATATGTAGAAAATATCTCATAATATGTGGAAAATATCTCATTATACTATTATTTCCACTTAGAATGTTTTTTAGTATCTTATTTTGTACGATCAATTTCCATATTTCATGATTTGTTTCCTTATTTAATTCGGAGTTAGGGTCCAGTATTTGTATAAAAAAAGTTTAGTGCTTTGCATCACATCAATACCAATATAATTTTATTATTCCAAAAGTACTCCTTTCTTCTCTCTCCCTCATTCCCTACTTAAAGCCCTATAATATCAACATCGTGCATCATTTTGGTACCTTAAAATGGAGCTATATTTTTATATAATTAAATTTTTGGTCCCTATCATGATATGCCGTGTAATTGAGCATGGAGACAAGTATACGCTTTATATTCCGCATGCACCTTATAAATGTCTAACCTTTAACTTTTTATGATGAATGATAGCTAGCAACATCTTCCTTGGCCAGCTTGTCAAGGTTTGCATGGGGAACAAAATCCACAGCTGAGAGTTCATTAGACAAAGAAGTCACTTCAGATCTTCCTTTTAGTTTGCAGCTTTTTGAATTTGGTATGCCTCTTCCACTTTATACAGGTTTAGGAAGAACCCTTCATGATGCTACTGCTAATAATAGGCAAACATATTTTTTTTCTTTGATTTAGTTATTGAAATTCATCAACATTCCAGAAATTTATTTATATTTAATGCATTACTATTGCTAGGCACAGTCTTGGCCTCAATGTTAATAACACTATACCCAGATAAAAGTAGTTTCTTATTCTTATCCTCAACTGAACCTTCATACTAGGATTCTCAAACATTTTGTTTTTGGTTTTGACCTCTTACACATTGCTGTAATTTTATTATGTCATTGAATTTTTATTGTCACATCTTAAAGTTTTTAAACATTATTTTTCTGCAGAGGCATGCCCCTTTTGTAGAAGGGTCCGGGAAGCTTTGACTGAACTGGATCTTTCTGTAGAGGTTAGCTGTCAATGCTTCTTCACATGCACTTACCACCACATTCAATATCCAATACTCCCTTTCCTTGATGAGTTTTGTCTGTTCTAATGGATCACTTTTTTTATTGCCAATAAGATATGCTCCTAGAATTCTGGGGTCTTTGTCTACACTCTACAATACTAATAGTAGTTGAATCTAATGGGTTAGCTACCTTTTCAAAGATGAATCCTTTTCCTATCAACTCATGTAGGACCACTGATATTCAAACAAATTCCAACAAGTATCATTTTCTTTTTTTCTTTCTTTGGGGCGGAGACTGGGTGTGGTGGTGTAAGTATCTATAAATTAAATTGGAAGTTTCAATTTTATCCATTAATACGGCAATGATATAGATTAGTCAAATTCATTTGTTTCGTCAAAAAGCTTAAATGAATGATGGAAATTATAGGCTCTATACATGAAATTTTGGACACCACAAGTTATTTTAGAGTGCTGAATTACACAAGGTGCTGAATGGAAGTATAGCTCACATTTGCTTGGATATTGATTTTGCCAAAACAGATAATTTAGCTTGCTAAACTACAAGGGAAAGGATTTTATATATATATGTTTGATTTATGACAATCAATGATGACATACACATTTGTGACAAGAGTGATGAGAAATTGATTTATGTTTGATTTTTGCCAATCAATTCCCCTAATATTACTGTTATCGGTGTCATCAATAGGTCTATCCTTGTCCTAAGGGTTCTGTAAGACACAGAGAGGTGGTCAGAAGTAATGGTGGCAAAGAACAGTATGTAGCTCTCCATGATATATTGTTTCTTTTGATCTGTTGATGATTTTTTTTATTTTTTTTTTTTGCAGTATTGAAGAACTTTGAAAATTTAGAATGAGTTTTTGGGGTATCATATCTCAATTTTTCGACAGTATATATCCTCGTACTATGTATGCTGATTAATCCTGATGAAGCAACGTATAGGACCTGCATTTTAGTTTATAATTTCTATTACATTTTTTTTTAATATTTGTATTTTGCTTCATATTTAATACAAGGGAAATAGTTTGATGTGGTCCTTATCTTTTCAGATATTATTGCTATTTAACATATGCTGCGATGATGTTCTTTTGCAGGTTTCCTTTCCTCATTGATCCAAAAAATGGTATTTCTATGTATGAAAGCGGTAAGCAAGCAAGCTTTTTCCGTACTCTTACTCCAAATGGTTGCTGATTATGTTGTTTAGTGCCAATGACTTAAATTACTACCATTTTCATATTATTTTCTGGTCTGGATTCGTTCCTGTTAAAGGCTCATTATTCCTCTTTGCATTTTCTTACCTGAACTTCCGTTTTTGTCTGTTTCAGTTGTATCAGTAAAGGATTTTAACTAGTTCAGTTTCAATCTGTTAAATTTTATGTACTGATTTATTTGAACGAGTTTGTCATTTAATTTAATAAAGGCTATTGTAGTCTCAACTCTAACCTCTAAAGTAAACTATTGCTGATCGTATGTATCCCTCTTTTACTTCAATCTTTCTTATTTTTGGTTTCTTGCTGTAGGTGATATTGTAAAATACTTGTTTGAGCGATATGGAGGAGGCAGAAGTCCATCATCAGGACTTTTGGAAAGGTATTAGATGTAAATCACTATTTAGATGAGCATATATATAGTATTAATCACATATTTTAGGGAGGAAACTCAAGTTAAATCTTCACCATACAAAATTGCTGCATTTATTGGTTAGGTGAAAAGGAACCATAATATTTTACTGTAATATTTTCGTGAAAGCATATTAGCATTTAAATAAATTTTGTATCATGTCTGTGATGCAAATAGTATGTTCCTCGTCTTGGAGTGACTCAAAGTGGTTGTTAAGGAGTACTGAACCATATATAAATGATGATCGTGAGTTTTGTGACAGAGATGATGGCACTAACCAAAGAGTCTGTGCTGAGAGTTGTTCCATATTCCATGGCTTTGACAAAGAGTCAAAGACTCGAAGAGAGATTTTCAATTTAATTTGTTCTTGATAACCCATTTTTGTACAGCACTATTTTCACGGGATGGATGCCAACAATACTTCGAGCAGGTAGAGGAATGACGCGGTGGGAACATTCCAGGCCTGACCCCCCTCCAGGAAAGTTGGAGCTCTTCTCATATGAAAATAACCCTGTAAGAATGCTTTTCTGTCTCCAATTTGTGAAGGAAATGCATACATGGAGAGAACTTTGCTTATCTGCTTAACCTACTTTCAGTTTTCAGTTGACCCAAATCATGGTCTGAAAATAGAATCAGTTATATTTTGCGCTTGGTATTTTTTCCTTTGAATTCAATCTTGAGTGAAAGAAGACATTCATATAATGTGCTGAAATCTTGCATTTGTGTTCACTTGGAGTTAATGTTAGGATCATAGGAGGAACTAGATTTGTCATACTTGCCATGTTTTGCCCCCTTCCCTTGTACTGTCAAATATCATACTATCTCACTAAGTGATTGGTTATATTTCTTCTTCTAACTTCATAAATTTAAAATTTCACATTTTAGAATGCTCGAATAGTGCGAGAGGCATTGTGTGAATTGGAACTTCCTTACATTCTTCAAAATGTCGGAGAAGGATCTTGTCGAATGAAGTTACTCTTGGATGCTTCTGGATCTAAAGAGGTTAGAATTTAGTGGGACAAGCAAAATTGCATCAAAGTTTTATTGAAATGAAATTTGTATCCTTCTAGATATGTTGGTTATTTATCCAGTTAGAAATTTTTTCTATGGGTTTGCTTCCATATCAGAATATACATCTTAAGTGGGATTTGACTCAGATATGCACTTTAAAGGAAAAAAATTGGATTTATAATCTGTTGATGGGAAAATCACCAACTGAGATTTTGGCAATAAAATTCATGCAAATGTATAACAAGCTATAAAATTGTTAGAATCCGCTTGCTATTCTCCCAAGTAGGTAGGTTATTGTGTTTAATAATAATGGATAAATGATAATGAGTGCAAAAAGCAAAATGGTAGGAGGTGAAGTTTTTATATCTTGATTATTTTTCTTTTTCGATTATTTTATTGTTTATCAACATAAATCTTGCATGAACAGAGAAGTTGCCCTCTACAGGTTCCTTACTTTATTGATCACAACACTGAATTTCAATCTGGAGACTGCACGACGATATTATCATATTTATTTGAAACCTATTCAACAGTTATCTTGTAACTGGTTCCCGGGAAATGAAAATTTTTGTGCTTTGAAATCACCACAAAGCCTATTTTATTGTCATCTTTTTGTGTGATGAACAATGCCCTTGGAGTATAGTCTAGAAAAAATTGTAAAGAATTAATGGTATACGGAATGGTCAAGTGAGTCCACTGAACCTTTTGACATTGTTTTGAAGACATTGGGGTTGAATTACTTGTCACTTGGACAAGTTAAACTTACTGGTTGATGACTCCGATCAGATTGAATGATTTGTGCCCAAATGAAGAACGGGTTCACAACTCTGTTTTCAGTATTCTGCAGAACTCTGTTCAGCTTCTTTGTTTCCTTTATCACTAGAGTAGCATGGAACCATCTTTCCAAGCTGCCTTATGGAGTTAAAATTAGGCAGAGCAACTAGTGTTATTTGTGGTATATGTAATGAACAATTTGATTATGTACATTTCCTGAATCTTCCGAAAGTTCTTCCACAAATATTGCAATAAATTTGGCTTCAAATGTAAGTTCTTACGTTTCTTCACCTTGATTATTCTTATTTGTAACTCGTGCTAAAATCATTATGCACAATAATTATGTTGTTTATATATCATATATATGTTGTATGATCTTCATCTATTCAACTTGTATCCGTAACATTAAAATTTTGGAACTGAAATTTTGATGGAAGAATAATGACTCAAAAACATGAAATGACCCGCTTCACTTAACACTAAAATGGTCCTATGAAACAGAATTGCATTAATTTGACTTAATTAACTGCCCTTTGAGTAATTTTTCTAGCCTTATTAAACCAAAGAGCAGTGTAGTATATTTTTAGAATTAAGAATAAAGAGTGTTTTATGCGTTGAGGTAAAATTTGTGTAACATACCTTCCCATTAGTTACACATTTTACGTATTTAGGACCCATCATACAAGGCAACGTAAAAATAAAGGGAGACATGAATCTCAGGACATTTTTTATCGGAGTTATTAAGCTTGCAATGTTGTATGCAATTGAATGTTGGGTAGTAAAAGGGCAATAAGAGAATAAAGATATAGCAAAGATGAGAACGTTGCATTGGATGAGTGGACGTACTAGACAATACATTACAAGATTAGAAATGAATATTTGATAAAAAGTTAGGGTAGCATCTTTTGTAGAAAAGATGGTAGAATCATGTCTTTGGTTTAGGCATGTGTACTGTATAGAGAAGACTTGTTAAAGCCCCACGACGAATGGATCATAGGGAGGGTATGTCTAGTGATAGCGAGATCAAGAAAAACTAGAGGCTAAACATAAACAATTAAAAGGGATTTAGACGACAATGGTTTGAGACCGGTCTGAGTTTAACAATACTAATAATGTCTATTGTTAGTATCTTTGGGCCACGTTCTGTCATTCAACACTACCTTAGGTTGTTATTCCCACTTGTGAATAAAAATGTTATTTTGGATGTAGTGGTGAAGAATTTTGTTGATATTGCAAGAGATAAATTAATATCAGGGTATGTTGAATTATTTAAGAGCAAGTATGCAAGCAACGTAGTGGAGGATCTCCTACAATTTTCAGAAATGGAGGGTCTTTTGCATGTAAATATTGTAACATCATTTTATCCTAAGAAAACCGTTTGCATGTGAGATACATGAATCAACCAAGATGTATATCTGCAAGATAAAATTAACAAGAAAGTAAACAAAAATCTACAAAAGTCACGTGTTATATTAGCAAACAAAACAAAAAATTACTGAGTGTGCCATCGAATATCAAAATACCTATCAAAAATAGAAATTCAACTTTTGTAAATTCACGATCACGCAATGAGAGAGGAAATATGAAATGATAGAATAAAAATCAGAGTAAGAAGTTTAATTTTGCTTATACCAAAAGTTTTTTTTTTTCATAACAATAAATAAAAATTGTTTTACACTTTACGTGTTAAATGTTTTGAAAGATTTTCTTGAAGACAACATTTGTAGTGGTTTTTAACGCTAACCCTTCTTTGTCATGTATAAGAATCTTTAATTCTTACTTGCTTATATAACTGGTCATGACTAACACTGGATTAGGCAAACATGTCCCAACATAAATTTAAAGATATTGACATTATGATTTGTTGATAATCATAACATATGAAATCATTAGAAGAAATGATTTTCTAATAAATTTGAAAGGTTATCGTGATTGTGATGGGAATATTGATATCTAGGTGATGTAAATTAAATTTTTAATATTTTTTTATAAACATGATATTTGCATCAACAACATGGTTTGTTAATTTTGTAACTTTTGGTAATTTAAATAGTTTGACACTTGTATTTCTTAATCAAGATTTGAGGTTTAATTCCTATCTTGAACATGAAGTTATGATTGGAAGCAATCACTTTATCTTTCTAGGGATCGTCCCAATAAAAAGGAGTTATATCTCTATATCAAACAAAAAGAAATAATTATTATATAAAAATAATTACTAAAAAAATATTACAAATGAAGTAATATTAATTATTTAATATTTAGAAGAAGAAAAAATGTTTCTAGAAGCACTAATAAAAACAAGGAACAACTATCATGTTATTCAAAGTATAATTAAGTTTAAATAATCTTAGCATTGCCTTGGTTTTGAGTCATGTGAATAGAAAAAAGATAAATACTAGCGGTATTCTGTTTCTAGCAATTTTGGTAACATTGATTAAAATTTATTAGAAATTATAAATTTGATTTTAAATTTGTTCAAAATGATCAATAATATCTATTGGATCGAGCACTTAACATTAGACCAAAAGTTATAGTTGATAGTTAAGGTTCAACTCTTTCTACTTATTTGTCGCAATCCAAATGTCATGTGTTTCGATTGTGACTTAACCTACCTAAGCCTCTGCCACGGAACAATTGATGTTATCCAATAAACAATCCGTCCCTCAGCAATTGCTCCTACTAGGAATCAAGCACACGACCTTGGCTTTGATATCAATTATTAGATCGAGTACTTACCATTAGGTTAAAAGTTAGAGCTTTAAGACGCAACTTTTTTCTACTTAATTGTAGTAGCCCAAGTTTCACGTGTCTCGACTATGACTTAACCCACCTAGGCTTTCACCATGGGACAATTGATGTCACTTGATAAATAATATCTTTCTTGTTTTCACTTTTTTAATTATTTTAAATATAATTTTAAAATATTTTTTTGTTATTTAAACCATCTTCATTACTTCTAGTAATTTATCATTTAATGAATGAATGATAGAAAAATGATCCACCTAACCAATTTTAATTTAAAGCTTTTTTTAGATAACTTGTTTTTCCTTAATTTTAATCCCTTAAATTAAAAAAGGATTCCTTCATAGAAGCCTTACTCATACTAAAAAAATTTGGATTATTAATCCAATTTCAACAACTTATGTTTCATAATTTTAGAACTCAATATGTCAATTTATAATTGATTTTTCGTATATACAAATTTGATTGTGTATATTATATAGCTAATCATTCCTGTAAGGGTATAACGAATTCCTTTTAAGTAATTATAAAGTTTGTTATCAGAATTTTAATCAAATGAAAGATTCCTTAACTATAAAAAGTTCAAAGATCGAATTGCGCTTTTTTCACAAATTTTGTGATAGGACCCGTCAAAATTTATTTTTTCTAATAAATTTTAGTCAACATTAAGGAAAATATTAAAAAATATTGTCGTTTATTTTCAAAAAAAAAAAATAGAGCAAATTACATCAATATCCACTAATGTTTGTTGATATTACACATACACCCCTCCTTTTTTTATGCTACACAAAACCTCCTAACCTTTGTTAACCCATTATAGATGCACCCCCTCCCTCGCGAATCGACGGTGTTAATTTCATTTATTTTCCCAGTCACGAGGTTTTTAATGAAAAATCCATGGACAAAATTGTGCTTGTCTCATTCATTTAAAACTTTGACACCACCAAAACAACTAGGAGGAAGTTATATACACATTGTTCGTGTTCAATGTTCGTACACACTTCATTCTTTGAGTGAGTTTCATTAATTGTTTGATTGGTTTTCATTAATGGTTTTTTGTGTTTTATTTTGTTAATGTAAATGATTTTTCCCATTTGCCATGCATTTGAGTTCGAACTATTCTTTTTTATAAATCTTCGTTCACATTCCTACAAAGAAAATGAGACATTGTATGGGTGTTGTATTTGGAAAACAAGGGGTACGTGTGTAGACCTTGTAAAGTAAAAGAGTGCATGTAATAACTTTAATATCTCGGGGGTACATGTGTAATTTGCTTTAACAAAAAAATAATTTAAAAAATAAGCGAATAACTAACAGTGTTAGAGTAGGGAGTAGGGAGTAGGGAGTACCAAAGTAATATTTTTAAATGGAGGGGGTGCAGTAATTACCCTAAAATTTAGGGGGTGTTGCAGTAATTACTTCAAAAATATGTGATATATTTTTAATTAACCTTCTATTTTATTTTTATGTCATTTCATATATGTATATTTTGGTTGCCATGTTATTGTTGTGAATACAATTATCAAATAGGTATGGTTAGCTTAGTTTGACTTAACTTGTAAGGACTAAATAATGTGTAACATGGAGTCAAAATGACATGTCGAAAGAAAAGGAAAGTGAGTGGCCAAATGACATAGAAAAAATGGAAAAATTTGTTATGCTGAAGAAACACGTGTCAATTGATTCGAAAGAAAGAGATACAAGAAGAAGCACTAGGCTGTGGAAGAAGAATATTTTATTGGAAGGCTCTACATAATATAGATTATGCATGTAGTATGACAAATTCTCCATAATCCTTCTCTTTCTCTTTGAAAGTCTTTTTCTTTGTCCTTCTCTGAATATTTCTTTTCTTATTAACAGCTTGCTGATATGATTGTGAGGGTCGATCATGGATTCTATGCTCACTATAGTTAATTCTTATAACGAATTTCAATTTCTCTAAATTCCACTATTTCTTCTACTATTTCAATTGTACTACATTCTATTTTTTAAAATATACTAAGATATTGTTTCATGATATTTTTAGACAAATTTGATTGACTTGTATTGTTTTTGGGCTACTATTTTTTTCCCAACTTGACCTATACCATTGGACTATTGGGTCAAATTGGCTGTAATTAAAACTTGATAAAAAAATTAAAAAAATGGTTTTAGATAAATTTATTTTTTTTAATTGAAATCTAAAAAATGATTGTTGCATTTATAACTTAAATAGATCTAAAATATAAATATTAAACTTCTTAATTGTTGGTAATGGATCACTAGAAGTAAAATTATATAACTACTATTTTCTTTCCAAAGCATATACATTCGCATGCCCTTCGTCTTGCCCCTGTTGGCGAGTCTCTGCCATCTACCTTGTGTCCCTGTTCGCATGCCTACCTAGTCCATTGTCGTCGCATTTCATGCTACTTGTGGTGTCCCCTCGTTCGTTGTTATCACGTGGATTAATTGTTTTAATCTTCTTTATTTTGTTTCTTTATTATATAGTTGCAATAAACTAAATTTTCTAATAATTAATTTTTTACCTGTCTTGTAGTTGTTGCACTATGGAATCTCAAACTATCCATAAAATAAGTTTCAATGAAATGTGCACTGAAGATGATGATGAGTGCATAGATGAATAACCCATGGATCCAAACCCAATTGAATAGGACAAAGGTAACAACGAAAAACAAGGTAAGAGAGCCAAGATTTATACATATGAAGCTTGGAAGTATTTTACTAAAGCTGGTGTAAAAGATGGAAAAGAAAAAGCAAAATGTAATGCATGTGGAAATGAGTATGTAATTGGTGGGACTAAAATGGAAACTTCAACATTGTTGAAATATAAACAAGTTTCACATCTTATAAAATAAGAGAAGAAATAATCGTTTATAAAGCACATATATGCTCTAATGATTAAAAGGTCTTTTGAGTGATAATCAAAAGCAAAATTATGAGAACTTAAACCCAAAGCGGACAATATCTCATTATTGTGGAGTTGTATGTGAAATAAATTTATAAAAATAACTCAAAAATATTCCCTTAAACAAATACTAGAAGTTGGATATACAAAGACAGATTCCGCTGCATGAAATGTTAGGTCATAAAACCTTAGGTCCAAAGCGGATAATATATTGTTAGGTCCCTTGTTTGAGGGGAGGATTGTTGAAATACAAATAAATTCCACATCGATAAAATAAGAAAAGAAATAACAACTTATAAAGCATACACATACTCCAATGATTGAGAGACTTTCTGGGTGATAATCAAAAGTAATACCATGAAAGCTTAGGTCCAAAATGAACAATATCTCATTATTGTAGAATTTTGTGTGAAATAATTTTATAAAAATAACTCTTATAAAATATCCCTTCAGACAAATACCATAAAAAAAATCTCATCAAACATTATTATGCCATAAGATAAAGTGCAAAGGAGATGTCATTAAATATCAAGATGCAGGTGAAAATTGAATAGTAAAATTCTTGCATTTTGTGTAAAATGGAGCCTCCTTATATGTCATGAATTGGTAAATAAAGTGTTCGAATGCTTGACTTAGTGAGGAATTAATAGAAAAATATTTTCCATCACTTTAAACAATGATAGTGCAAATAGTTATATGCAAGAAAATTTCGATGAGCAATTAAGATTACAAAATAACTTGTTGTGTGATCGTGAGTTTTTTCATGTTAAGCGTTTTGCCCACGTATTAAATATTATAGTTCAAAAAGGCTTAAAAGTAGTTGAAGGTGTTTTGCATAAGATTAGAGAAAACATTAAATATGTGAGAGGTTCAGAGGCAAGGAAAATAACATTTAAAGAATGTGTTATTCATGTAAAAGGTATTGATACCAAGGTGGACTTGAGGTTGAATGTACCTACTATATGAAATTCTACTTTTGTCATGCTTGAAAGTGCTCTTAGGTGTTATCATACTTTTGATAGTTTCACTATTCATGATAGAAATTACAAGTATTATCCATCAATTGATGAGTGGAAAAGAGTTGAAAGGATATGCAATTTTTTTAGGCCTTTTTATCATTTAAATTATATAAAATATATGATTTAAATATAATTTTCATACATTTAATTTACTATTTTTTTTTACTTACTAGTGGAAAATTAGCATATTACGTCACCCCTTTTACGTCAGAAATACGAAAATCCGGCGTAAAAAAAACGCGGTGCCATTTTTGTAATTTTTGCGAACTTTTTTACGTCGGACCCTACCAGGTCTGACGTAAAAAAGGACGCAAATTTGAATAAGAGAGCGCGAGGCACACCGCGCGCATTCACTCTTCATCACTTTTCATTTTTTTCTCTCTAAACCCTCTCCCTCTCCTTTGTTACTGAATCGTTTTTTTGTCTTTTGCAGAGGGATGAACTCTTTGTTACTCATTTGCACATTGTTGCTGCTCCTCATGTATGAATCAAGGTTTCGTTAGCACTTTTCTACTTCGCATTGCTACTCTGGCTATCTGTTTTATTTAATTTTTTGGTTGTTCTATTTGTATAGGTAGTGGGCGTTTTCTTTTGGGTTGTTATACGAAGCTGAATGGCTTGTTCTGCAAGCAGAACGGGCCGTTCTACTGGCATTTTTATTTTTATTTTTATTTTTTTTCCTACTTTTTTACGTTGGATGTCGTAATGTCCGACGTAAATTTACGTCGGTTTTGCAGATCCGACTTAAATTTACGTCGGTTTTGCATATCCGACGTAAAATTTACGTCTCCCGCTTCTACGTCGGTATGTTTTCTGACGTAAAAAGCTGAAAATGTCCGACGTAGTACACCTCTTTTGTACTAGTGACTTTTGCTTTCTGTAAAAAAAAATTTATTATCATTTATAATATTTTATAACATTTCAAAAATAATTTTTACTATTAACTACGGTTAAAAAATTCTACATAACAAATAAAATATATATTATATTTGATATATTTCACATTACTTCACTATTACACCATAGATAACTTAGTTTTAAATTTTGTTTAGACAAAATTTTAATATCCTAAAATTTCAAAATGCATTTACAGACATAAAATAACATCGAAGTGAATATTTTCTTTCCTATATATGTTACATTAGCTAACAAGATGCGTACCAAACAAAAAAAAAAAAACTTTTTAAATGACCCAGTATTTGATCAACTTGAAACTACTTACTCTACGATCTCTTCCACTTGAACAAATTCAGACACCAGATACCTTGTTTAGGTGGCATTTGTTTTCTTTAAGACTATATTTATAAAAATATCAATCATTCAACCCGCGCGATTACGTTTCTACCAACTTTGACAAATATTTTAATCAGCCAAAGTTACCTTAGTAGCTTTCTTGTCAAAATCATGGGGTCCAAAAACAACATATATCTCTTCCTCTGTTTCTGCTTTATTCAAGCAATGCATGTTTCCTAATCATAACAAACAATAATCCTCCTGTCACAATGCCACTTTACCCGCTCTTTCTTAATGATAAGTCATCCCTTAATAAGTTAATACAAATCCTCTCACTATTATAGACTTCACAACGGAAGATATAATTGAAGATGCCAAAAGTCCAGAACTACTAACATCACAACCAACGGTAGGTGTGCTCTCACCCAATGATTCCTTTAGTAGGTACTAGTATATAAATTATAGAGCAATAATTTTTTAACTCCAAATTTATTGTTTCAGAAATGTTATAAATTATAGAACCATAATTTTTTAAGACTCAACTCTCTTTTAATGCTCTTTATTATTATTAAAATCACAAAAAAAAATTATAGATTTTACAACTAAATTAGAAAAAAGATTTTAAGTTTTTTAATAAATTTTAGCTAATAATAAAGTGTTACGAACAGAATCACAGTAGTATTTCTCTTAAATAAATAGGAACATTAACAAAAAAAAAAACCTCTAACATTACCTGTTGCTTAAAATTTATCAGAATTTTTTTTATTGTTGTCTCTCTCCCCTCCAACTCTCCTCATTTTGTGAATCTTTCTTAATTTATTAGTGGAATCTACCAAACTTTGTAATTTTTAAAAAAACTTTTAAAAAAATATTAGAAGAATTGTAACTAACAATTTTTTTTCTCCCAATACCTAAACAACACTCCTTATTTATCGGTTTCACCACCTTTTCCATTATATAACAAATTTATTTCCCAATTTTATTATTTTTTATTATTTTTATTTGACAATAAAATATAACTTTTTTTTCCATGAAATAGTCCATATAAAAATAAAAGAATATACACAAAGTGTAAAAAAAATTTATATTGACAATCAATCATATGCTTTAATAATGTTATGTCATTTGCTTATTTAATTAAATAAATTAAAAAATATAATTAATTATCATTGTAAAAAAAATTACACTAATAATATAATACTACTTGTCATCATGATTTAATGTCTAAAATAAATAGGGAACCTCAATCCTTGATTAGCTCAGGAATTTCGACAATTTTATCTCATGAAGTGTGATATATGATTTGGGTGTGAATATACATTTTTGTGAAGTACAAGGTATAAATGTATGACACCTGGTGTCTGGTGACATGTACAGTAAATCTTGTGCCCTTGAGTGGGGGGTGTCCACGTACGTTAGCCTGACTTTACTCGAAAGCAAATTGAGATTTAATTTGGAAATTCCAACACACAGGGACACATAAATCCCCAATCCCGTTGAAAACGAAAGTGGTATATCTATGCCTTGAAGACCTGCTGATATCATCCTATTCTCCTGACTCCTGAGAAACAAAACATGAGATCCAAACCCCAATTCACATGCACCTTCAAGGTAGCCCTTCTCAGCCTCGCCTTCCTCTCCCTCTTCATCCTCCTTTTCCGCTCCTCCATCTTCTCACTCTCCCCACAGCTCACAACAACCGTTTCAGTTTCAGATCACCCCACAGCAGAAAAAGAACCTTCATCGATACCATGCCCTAACTCATGCACCAAGGCCCCCCCATCTCTCACCAACGCCATAATCCACTACGCCACCACCAACATCACCCCACAACAGACCCTAAACGAGATCTCAGTCTCCGCTAGGGTCCTCCAAAAGAAGTCACCCTGCAACTTCCTCGTCTTCGGCCTCGGCCACGACAGCCTCATGTGGACCTCTCTCAACTACGGAGGCCGCACCGTCTTCCTCGAGGAGGACAACTCCTGGATCAACCAAATCCAATCCAAGATCCCCTCCTTGGAGTCCCACCATGTTGTCTATGACACCAAGGTCTGATATCTGCTGTGCTTTATAAGTTGTTATTTCTTTTCTTATTTTAACAACAACTAAACTTGGTTGTATCTTGAAGAAAAGTTGTGCTTTATAAGTTGTTATTTCTTTTCTTATTTTAATGACGTTAGACTTGGTTGTATCTTAAACAGGTGCACCAAGCGGATGAACTGATGAGAATTGGAATGGAGGAGGATTGCAGAAAGGTGAGTGACCCAAGATTGTCCAAGTGCGAGTTGGCGCACAAGGGGTTCCCGAGTGAGGTTTACGACGTTGAGTGGGATGTGATAATGGTGGATGCACCCACTGGATACTTTGAAGGGGCACCGGGGAGAATGAGTGCGATATACACTGCGGGGTTGATTGCGAGGAACAAGGAGCATGGTGAAACTGATGTGTTTGTGCATGATGTGGATAGGGTGGTGGAGGACACCTTCTCCAAGGCCTTTCTCTGTGAAGGCTATTTGAGGGAACAAGAAGGGAGGATCAGGCACTTCAATATTCCCAGCCATAGGGCGCGTTTGGGGAGACCCTTTTGCCCTTCCTGAATCATCGCTTAGCTCACAATCCTTCGATCTCAACCAAAAAACCATATTTTAATTCTCATTTTATTATATATCAAACAAACAAGAGTCACCCATAGTGATCATGTGTCTACTCCTATTTTTTGCGTTATTAACTCTGTAAATTTGGGGTGTTATTTGTTGGTATGCCAAAGAGGAGAGATGTAGACAATATCAACTATCTAATAATTTTTTGGTCAAAGTGCTTTTTTATTATATATTTCCCCACTTTACCATTATTCTCATTCACAAGTCTTTTACGTAGCAATTGAAATCATTCTTTGGGTACGGTTAATTAAAAAGACTTTTTTTTTATAATATATATGTTAGACCTTAAACAAGTCATGTCATTTAACTTATTTTTACCTTTAATATAAATAAATTTTTCACACAATATTTATGATTGTCTAAAAATTTATTAAAAAATATTTTTTTCTTAAAACTTAAAACCTTGCATAAGAGATTCGGATCCAATTCCATAAGAACAACAATATGTTGTATAAATTCAACATTTGAGTTTTCTATTTTTCTATTATTAATAATGAGAAGAAAAAAAAAGTTATACATAATTAAAAAATAATAATTTTACACGATAATTCAATCACAAATTATGATGAATTTATTAATTTTTAAAATAATTATCTTTAAAATTATAATAATCATGGGTTTTTTATTAATACGTTGACGTGTAAAAGATTTTACTCTGGTAATAAAGCATAATTATTAAACTCATTAATAATTAGTTATATTATTATTTATTGATTTATTGTTGTTTTGTACATATGTCTGTAAGCTCTAAAATTCAGTAAACATATTAACCCACTTGACTTGACCATTCTGATTAAAAAGTCATATACTAATTTTTCAGAAATAATACTGTAGCAATTGAAATCATTCTTTGCTTTCATTTTAATTCTTAAAATTTACTTATCGAATGCGAGTTTGCATGTTTTCAAATTTATAAGACTGGCGCAAGTTTTTTTAGGTTTAAAATGAGATAAGACTGGCCCAGAAATTTTTTTATAAGTAAGAGTAACACCAATTTTGACAATTTTTTATGTATTTTATTTTTACTAAAATTTAAATTAAATTACACTTTTAATTCTCTTATAATATTAAATCTTTGATTTTGGTCATTAATTTTTAAATTCACAATTTTAGTTTCTTCATTAAATGTTCATCTATTGACCATTAAAATTGTAACACTTGTCATGATTTATAAAATTAAATAGATAACATAGCAATTAATATTTAATGATATTCAAGCAAAATTTTATTTTTTAATTCTCATTTTTATCTTATAAAAGTGATAAAATGAGATAAAAATAAGATGAAAATGAGAATTTAAAGTATAATTTAATCTAAATATCATAATTAAATATTAATTATACTATCATATATATAATGTTAGATCACGATAAAAAAAACGTTACAATTTTAACGATTAATAAAATCAAAAATATATTTTAACCAAAAATTCATTATAAGATGTTTGAGTTCAATAACTAACAATAATTTATTGAGATAATTAAAATGTCCATTTTACCTATTAAATACTATTTTAATCCCATAACAAATTTTATGTAAGAGAGAAAAAAGAAATTTTAAAATAAGTATTATTTTAATTTTTAATATAATATTAATTACATTTTTTTTTATTTATACTTCTAATAATATTATTTAGAAAGTGTTGTGAGACAATTTTTCTAACAACAAAGATTAATAATATTAATTTTTTTTTAAAAAAAAATATCTATTACTAGTTAATTTTTTTAATCTATGTCAAACAACTTAGGACAGTACTTGAGACCGAAAGAATATTATTAATTAATAATTAAATATATTTATTTTCGTTAAATTATTAGTAATAATCAAATATATTTATTGTTGTTGACTTATTAGTAATAATCAGATATATTTATTGTTGTTTTGTACCTATCCTTAAATTCATTAACACATATTCACCAATTGACTTATACAAATTAATTGCGCATGCAAATCACAAAATTAAAGATGAAAAACAAAACAGAAACATTAAATAACAAGATTTTGATAATCCTTTAAAAAAAACAAGATTTTGATAACTGGAAAAGGTGGGGAATACATAACAAAAAGCATCTTCCTCCGCTAGCAATTGTTTTAAAAAAGAAATAATAATAATAATAATAATAATAATCATTTATTCCTGTGTGAATGACATACAGAATTAAATTTATTGGTTTCAATAAGATAAATTGTTTCTATTTATTTCTATCATTTAATAATAATCAAGATATTAATGACGGACAAAAACCAATTAAAAATAATTCCTCACGTATCAAATTATAGAATGTTATCTTCAATATCAAACACCATCAAAATGAGTATGATTGAAAGTGTGATAAGGATGACAGAAATTATGAAATAAGTGCAATGCAAAAATAAGGCAGAGTAAGTTCCTCACATCATAAATCATTCCCTAATTTGTTATTCAATTGATTGTACTAAAATTAGGATTTTAACATGATAGATTTTTATTTTCAATAATTTAAATCTGTAATGAATAATTTTTTTTATATAAATTATAGTAAATAAATATTTTTATTATATAAATATATTTATATTTATGATAAATAATTTAATTATGATATAAAACTATTTTTAATTGTTAATATTTTTTAATAGTATTAAAATTTTATTTATAAATAACAAAAATAATAAATTAAATAGATAAAGGATTAAGAAAAATCTTTAAAAAAAAACTTATTTAAGAAAAATAACTAAATATTCTCGTTAAATTGATAATGATCTCTAAAAATACTTTCTTTCAAGAAAATTATTCTAATTTATATTTATTTGTATATAGAGATTGATTAGTAATTTAAGAATATATAAATAAACAATCGTACTTATGCTAAAAAGTCTTAAAATTCATCAAATTATATTGATTTAATAGGCTTATATATATATACTAACTAATTGAATATGCCAAAAAAATATTACTACTTTGGTCTTAATTATATAAAGATAATATAAGAAAAATATCAAAACTAAAAAAGTAATTAATATAATTATTTTTAATTAATTTTATCATAAATTTGAATTTTATTTTAAACTATTATGATTACTCGTGCGATGCATAAATTATTAATTAAAAATATTTTTTATAATATATATAATAAAAAATTATTTTTATTCGTTTTAGGTTTTAAAGTGTATTTTATTTATATTTTGAAATTATTTTTATGTTTATTTTATAATAATAGGAAAAAGTTGATTATGTAACATTTATATCAATATTTGTTAATTTAAATGATTCGGTACTTATGCTCTTTAACTAAAGATCATGATTTGATCCTAATTTGAGTATGAAGTCGCAATCAAAAATACTCTTTTATCCTTATAGGAGACAACTCGAGAAAAATATTTATACATTTTTATCAAAGAAAAAAATAGCCTTAATTATCAATTATGTGAAATCCTTTTAAACAATTTTGGTGACTATACTTTTGTTGTATGTGTTAAACATAAATTAGTTAAATTTTTAATATATTTTTTTTTGGTTGGAGATGCAAAATTATGTTTTTGTTTCATTCTTAACTTAAAAATGTTAGTAACTTACATCTGTTTAAATTATGTATTGATTGAATTATTTCATCTTCCAAAATTTGTGATTGTTAATTACATACAAAATTGCATAATTTAACTATCACACTAGTATGTGATCAATATCTATCATTCAATTGATAAATATTGTTTGAGATAATACATCATGTAAATTTCGAAGAATAACTTAAATTTTACTATTTAAAATAAGAGTTAATCACCTATACACTGCCAGTATAAAGTTTTTTACATTGGCAGTCAATCAGAGCCTAGTGCCTTTTTTATTTTAATTTAATTAAATAAGCAGATGAAAAGACATTATTAACGGTTCTGATTGACTGCCAATGTAAAAAAATTTTACACTGACAGTGTATCGGTGATTAACTCTTAAAATAATACAAGTAGATAGCATTCAAGTAAATGTAATTATTGACTTGTGTACTCCATACTTGATATAGATTACTTCTTTTAAGTAGTTTGATATACAACCTTTTTTCTCATTGATGGGTTAGCCAACAATAAGATAGATTAGATTGTCTATTTCATCCGCTATTTGATTTTCAAACTTAAATATAGTAATCTCTTAAAAAAAATTAAAAGACATGTGCTATTAAATGTATATAATAAGAAAAAAATCAATAATATGATAAAATTTAACATATACTTTATAAAATTTATAAATCAAATGAAAGGATAATAATGAATGTAAGGAATCAAAATTTAAATTTTTTCCTTAATATAAAGATATCATAGAACATAAAGATAATTTATTAATTCATGGGTAACACAATAACTTTTTCAAATAATTTTGATTGTCTACAATTTATCTTTTACTTACATAAACAATAACGATCTCTTAGTGAAATGTCACTCCCTTTAAATCATTGATACATTCTTTTATTATCTTCCAAAATATGATCGTGATTATACTTAGGGTTTCCATTTGCAAAACATAATATGTATTTTTAAATTAAATACAAAATAAATAAAAAAATCAACATGCATTAGAAATGATTTTCAAATGAAACAATAGATAACCACCAAATAGATTATATGCAAAAACATATCATGTATCCATGACCTTCCAATATTAACATAAATAAAATGGAAGACCAACATGTAACATCCCAAAATATTACTAATTACAATATATTAAATAATAGTTATTTAAGTAGAACTCCTTAATGTGTCAAAACACAAAGGAATTGAATAATAAGAACCTAGACTAAAATAAATAGGATTTTCAATCTTTAATTAAGTTAATATAGATTAATTGAACTAGTGTAAGGAAGACTCTTTGAAGTTAAGTAGAAGTGGTTTAAGAGTTAACACTTAGTAGAGACCTAAATTAAGGCACATAAGTAATAGATTAATTAGTCATGAAGTCTTAGAACTTATTAACTAATAATCTAGCTAACTGAATTAAATTAAGCACTAAAATAATATAAAAAAGTTAACTAGTAACACTTAGTCAAGATCAATTAGTGTAAATAAGGTTTAACTTAATTATGAAAAAGAAACTTGAACTAATCTCTAATTTAATTTATTTCTTAGTTTATAAACAATATCAAAATTAGATTAGAAAGTCAACAAGAGTCAAAGGAAGGGATTTAGTCAATTTTGACATGCAA